AGAACTGAAAGCATCATACCACAGTGATATATGTGCACCCATGTTTATAGCAGCACAATTTGTAATAGCCAGATCTTGGAAACAACCTAAGTGTCCATCAAGGAGGAATGGATAAAAAAGTTGTGGTATTTTTATAAAATGGAGTACTACTCAGCTATAAAGAATGATCATATTGAGATATAAAAAAATGGACGCAGCTTGAGACCATACACATAAGTGAAATAAATCAAACTCACATGTATAAATATTGAATATTTTCCCTAGTGTAATAAATGATAAGAATACATAGAAGTATGTGGTAATCATGATTCCCAATCATGTTTACACTCATTAAGTGCAATGGTTTTAACCTGGGTTGTTTGATTTTAGTATCAGTGATAGTATGAATAGCTATTCTGAAGAAAACAACACATCATAAAAGCTAGTACTGATTTAATATCATCTTGTTTCAAAATTCCATCAAGTTCTTGTACATCTGTTTCCACTGGTTTTAACATGTTGTATCTTGCTATATTTTACTATATGCGATAGTATATACAAAATTTTTATAGGCAAAGAGATAATATAGAAACCATTGTTCATTTTCTGTTAACTGGTTCTAAGTAGGCTTCACACTCTCTTGATATGCTTGATGCTACAGTATACGAAGTTATACTCAAATAATTCAAGGAAAGAGGCACTATGGTGACTAATATTATGTTAGATTATTTGGGGGTGAAACACAATGATGCTTAAATAGTTTAGTTCTGACCTGTGTTGTTCTATTAAATGTCCTCTTTTATCTCAATCTCCACTCTTTTTCAAAAATTAATCTATGTTTTTAAAATTTTTTCAATTAAGGGAAAACTAAATTAAAAAATAGAGGGATATATTATAGTAACATTTTTGTTTTCCTATTAACCTGATTTGAACCCCTCTATTGCTCTCCCCATCTTTTTCTGTTTTTACTGTATTCTATATTGTTTCATAGTATCAAGTTTGAAGGTATAGGCAACCACTTTGACGGCAATAAGATTTACTATCATGCCCATTATGGTTTGACTGTTATCTTCTTTTGAAATCCTGTAAGGTCTCCAGTGTAGGTTTTATTGGTCTTGTTCTGTACAGTTTTGATCAATTCTATTATGCATGATGAGATAGGCAATTCTTTTTCAAAATAGCAAGAGGCACAATGGTAACCATTTTTAATCATCTGATATTCTATTTTTGCATCATGTACTATGCCCATCCTTCTGTTCTAACCGACTCTGTTTTGTTTAGTCATGTTAGGTTTTATTCTCTTCAAAAAAATAATTAGAACTGTGGGAGTAAAAAAAACACAAAAAGTGTAAGTGTTATTGTAAAAAACAGAGGAAAGGAAGGTGGTATAAGTGATATAACTGCATGTTTGAGTGTGTAGGATGGAAAGCCATACTACTGAGCTTTTGTTGGATCATTGAATGGAACTGTCTGCAATCTCACTGTATGAATGTCCACTTTATATGCTTTAATTTTATAATTTGGACAACTGTTTCTAAGATGACAATATGTAACCTATTAACTAGTGATTTCTTACTGTATTATTTATCTTGAAATTCTGTATTATTTATACACTTTTAATGCTTCATTTTTTTATTTCCTTTCTTTTTTTCTCTTTAAATAAAAAAATAATCAAACCTGGAATGGATAGCTTTTATTAATTTATTTGTTGGTACTGGAGATCAAACTCATGACCTCACACTTGCCAGGCAGGTTCTTAAGCCACTGAGCTAAATCCCCAGCCCCCTAAATTACACCTTTTACATCTTGTCACCTTCACAGTAGTTGCCTATACTCTTGGACTTGATACAAGCAAACATACCAAATGTGAATAAAATCAGTCAAGACCAAATAGCATTCAAACAAACCAGCTTCAAAGAAGATCAGACATAGAAGACAATGTAAGTAATACAGGGTTTCAGTTTATGTTAATAGGTAATTAAGGATAGTTACCATGGTATAGCCTGCTATTTTTGGGTTATCTTTCTGTGCCCTGGAATCTAATATGAATAAACAGGCTGGAACAAAATATAATCAAACCAACCAGTGCAATAAGTCTACTGTAGCTTTTAAATCCTGATACACTTTTAACAATGCCCTCTGCCTCCTTTTTAAGGCAATTCCTCACCTTTCTCCTTTTCAGGATTCTATTATTCACTGTTGAGAGTGATATTAGTCTAGTCTCTTATGTTCAGTTTCAGCATATATAAAGATAAAAACAGCTACTATGAAGAGAATGAGAGACATTATGTTAGTCATTATCAACTTCCCCAAAATCAGTCTTGAAGACTGAAAAAGCCTACATCATCCTGTAATTATTTGCTTAGTTCTATAACGTTCAGCATATACTCAATGCATTCTAGATGGGAACAACTATTTGGAAGAAAACTAGAGGCAGTAAGATAGACAGTAAACATCTCCAGTGGACTTGCTTTGAAATCTGTGTTTCCTTAAATTGTTTTCTTATGAACTGTTCTGTTCTGTTTTATCATGTTTAATCTTACCCTCTTTTAAAAAAACAAATGTGAAGGACATATAAGCATATTAATAAGATTTTGTTGGATCACTGAGGTGAACTGTTCACAGTGTCATTATTGGAATATCACTTTGTATGCTTATATAAAATAAATTATAACTTGAACAACTATTTCTAAGATGACAATATGTAACTAATCAACTAGTGATTTCTTATTGTTTATTTTTTGAAATTCTGTATTATTTCTAGATTTTTTCTGTCTTTTCTCTTTAAACATTACAATTTACCAAAAAATATAAAAATTCTATTTTAAAGACAAAATATTAAGTACATAGGCACTATCCATACTTGAAAGTGAAAAGGCCATTTCAGTTTACCATGCTTAATTACAAGATGCCACGTTGAAGCACAAAGACATTTAAAAAAATCTAAAGAGGTACAAGTGGTTAACTGAAAACCATACAACATGTGCACTGGAGGAGAGCTCCACCTAAGATTTGTCATTTCTGGAAAATTTGTGAAGAAATATTGACATCAAACTTCTGTATTGGTTATTTCTTCAGGTCTCCTTGGGATTTTTAAAGTAAACTTAGATCTAAACTGTCTGAGGAGCGATGCTTTTTCTATGTATTTAACAACAAACATGGATTGCCATATTTCTCACATTGTTAATCCACATAGGATCTCTGCTCAGTGAGCTCTTTCAGATATGTCACAATGATCATGTGTGCTGGGAGGATTCCCATAACACATAGGATTTATCTCTAGTGTGAGTTTCTTCATGTATTTCACTCACAATCTGGCTGCTGAAAGTGTCTCCATTTGCGTACATAGCCAGTGGTTCTTCCCTGTGTGAATGCTTTCATCTGTTTTGCAATGACTGTATGCGGTAAAAGCTTTGCCACATTGTTATATACATGGGGTTTCTCACCAGTGTGAAGTCATTGATGTATTTTACAGTATCCATGTGTGGTGAAAGCTTTCCCACATTCTTCACATATACAGGCTTTCTCAATAGTGTAAATTTTTTCATGTATTGGACAATCAGCATTTCTGTTGAAACCTTTCCCACATTACTTACATATATAATTTTCCTGCCAAGTGTGAAGATTTTCACATATTATGCAATATATATGTGTGCTCAAATCGTTCTCATGATGCTTATATACACTGGTTTTATCATGAATGTGAACTTTCATGTTGCTTACAATGTCCATGTAGGGTAAATCTTTCTCACATTAATTATACAGATGGTTTCTCTCCAGTGTGAATTCTTTCATGTTCCTTACAATGCCCATGTTTGGTAAAAGCTTTCCCACGTTCCTTACATACATAGGGTTTCTCTCCAGTTTGAATTCTTTCATGTTGCTTACAGTTTCCAGATTGGATGAAACCTTTTACACATTGCTTATATACATAGGGGTTCTCTCCAGTGTGAGATATATTTGACAATGAATGTTACTGTGGACATAGAGGCCATATATACAGGATTCTTCCTGAGTATTCAGGTTGCTATATTAAATCAATCTCTATGACATGGTATTGATGGTCAACCTATGCCATTTACAAACAGGCCCATTTTTATACAGGTCCCAGTCCTAAATCATAAAATGCTTTTATTCCCTTTTAAACTGCCATTCTGTTTTCACATCACTCAGGCCCTAGATCTAACCATCCTTTTGATGCTCATCTCTGCCTTATGACTCACAGGTCATCATGTTTTGTTGTCCAGTTTGATTCTTAATTTCTTACATTCTATTAATAATCATTTCTATAACAGGAGTCCTTAACACGGTTTCCTACAGACTCCAACATCATATATACCAGAGACAAGCCTTACCTACCTACCTTTTAACTTTTATGCTTTCATAGGGGGGAGTAAACACCTCTCATAACTTCACTCCTCCTAATCCCATGTTTATTTTTCAGAATTCTGCCTTGCCACCTCAACGTCACCCTTGTAAAATACCATCTCAAAACCAAAGTCACCTTCCTATCTACCTCACCTGGGTCCTTAAATATAATAGTGCCATGTCTCCTAATAACATTATGTTTCTTTGTTTTTCCAGTCTGACATACGTACATTCACCAGTAAAGTTGTCCTGGCTAAAACACCTGGCATCAGTGTCTACCTGGGCATCAACCTTCATCCCGTCAAATTCCCCTAGACCCCCAATACAGTGCCCTCAGCCAGCAGGAAGTAGTTACAGAGAGAGATCTTCGCCCCTTTTCCTAATAACCATAAGACGGGATATGAAAGAGTTGCTGGCCCAGATGAAACACTGTAACCAGAAAAGGCTGCAGCTAAACTCCTCCCCCCCTGCCCCCTATGGACTTTATTGTAACCCTATATCCCCATCCTTAAGAATCTGTGCGCCAATGAGATACCTGTGCATCTCTAATGGCCTTAGGGCGCTGCCCTAAGCTTAGGCTATTTAGATGCCCCCATGCCACGTGTCCGAGAGAGTTCGCCAGAGAGAGAGTTTGCCAGAGAGAGAGAGCTTGCCTGATTCCAGTGGCCAGCGCCAGCCAGCATGCCAGTCTCCACTCCCCGTGTTCCCGGAGAGACCACCGGCCCCGGGTGCAGAGATGCTGTGCCCAGGGGCCAGCGGTGGGGGGGCCCCCTCCCCGCATTCCCAGAATAAAGTCACCATTGCCCACTACTTTCACGGCCGTCCGCTCCATACCTCCCACGGACTTCCCTCTCTCTTCTCCTCTCCCTTCTCTCAGACCTAACTGTACTATTTCTACTTATTTTGTTTTGTTTAATCTTTCCTTACATTAAATTTCAAAAAAGAAAAATTCACAGTGAAATGGGTCTCAGTTTAATGACTGCATTAATGTCAAGTTCTGTTTTAAATACCTGCTAAGAAATTCTGACCATGAAGCAACAGAATGGCCTTGTAAGATATGCTGAAAACAACCATTCCCAAAAGACTGGTACACATTTGGAAATCTCAAAAGGTGGTACCTTTTGAAATGCAGAATATTTAGCTTCTCTTCTGTCATGGGTACTTATGTGTATCACAGACAGTTCATTCTGATATGTTTCCCCATCACAATCTCCCTTCTGTCCTTAACCTGTAGATCAGTCTTACTTTTCTCTATTAACTCTCTTTCACTTCATTCCACAATTTTTATTTTGGTTTCTTATCTAAAAGAAACCCTGTGACCTTTTAGGTTTTATAGCTGAGCTATTTCACTCAATTGATGGGTGAAAGGCCCATTGCTTCTTATGGCAAAAGACATTATATTATTTATTTTTTGACACTATATAACACATTTTTTCTTTTCCAGGCTGGAAATAAACAACAGGTATTAGCATAAAATCTACAGCTTTTTAAAATCTGTTTTAAGAGATTTTCACTGATCATTAAGCTGTGAAGTTTGAACTTGAATTTGCCATTCTGCAAAATCTGATTTGTAGTGTGCTGGGTTTACAAGAATGCACAATCACAGAGAGTCTATTAATATTTTCCTTCTTCCCAAATCCAGTGATAGATAGCTAAGCTTCTTCAAGGCCTGATCTATTATAACTCAATCTGCTTTGTATGTGAATAAGCCTGTATCAGTATTTTATGCAGATTTTGAGATTTTAAAACTATATCCAGGACAAGTATGAGGGGATCAATTTCCAGAGACAACTGCATACTGATATTCAAAATGAGTGTGCTAACATTGCACCAGCCTACAAAGAATTTTAATTAGAATGGCTTATTCTCTAGAACATGGCATGGAAACACAAGCACTCAGTTTTATTTCAAATTCTATTGCAATCTTAGCAATTTTTAGATCTTGAATATGTTACATTCACATGTATATATCAGTAGAAAAACTGAAGGCAGAATATCATAACTCAAAGTGTATGCCTTTCATATACATCTACATGCAATGTCATACATTTCCATGATTTAATTCACTCATTATACATACCCTAGCTTATACATCTTCAGAGAATATTACTGACATTTAATTGAATGGTTGTCATTTTTCTGCTGACTCACTAATTACTCAGGAACATTCCTTCTCCTTGTGAGTGTGGATTACCTTAAGTATGAGGGGATTTACTCCAGTAAATTTTGCATTTTTTTCAGCTTCCTGAATATCCCTGTCCTCCTGAATTGTAGACCTAGAAATACCAGGACTCATTAGAGTAATATATACAAATTAATAGGTTTTGTTTAGATATATGATATAACGTGTCCAGATCTGAGATAGTTTTTAAAATATTTTCATTTTCTTTTTAATGAAACAGCACTGATGAGCAACAAACAATATTCTGACAGCATGACTGACAAAAAGATTTCATCCTTACCTATCGCAGTCATGTTCCTAAAAGTTTCACCCATCACATCTCTGTAGAGGTTCTTTTGGGATGGACTCAGCAAACTCCACTCCTCATTGCTGAAGTTCACAACCACATCCTCTAAGGTCACTGCGTCCTAAAGAATGAGACATATATTTCTCAAAGGAAGATTGAGACCCCAGATTTGGGATATCTTAAATTCTGTCCTACAAATCTGAATCAAAAGCAAAGTGTGGTGGTGCATATCTATAATCCCAGCACTCAAAAGGCTGAGACAGGAAGGTTTCAGTGAGGTCAGGCCAATTCTAGGCTCCATGGGGTGTTCAAATCCAGCTGATATATATACAGAAAGCTTCTCTCAATAAAACTAAACTAAACTAAACTAAACTAATAAAACCTAAAAAACAGTTGAATGAAGACTGATTTCTTCAAATTTAAATCCATGTCTTTGTCATTAATTTTGTGTATATACACATTTTGAAGACAGCAAATTTGATGCTAGATTTTAACTCACTGCTAATGTAACAGGCAAATAGGAGCACTGATTCTTGTGCTGAGTCACTGCAAGATTCCCTGTGCGCTGTCTCTAAAACAGATCTCACAGTGAGAAGCACAGAGGTAGATAAATATCTCATCAATCCACTGGGAAGCCAAGCAAGCACCTCCCCTCCCTGGTCAGATGTGGTGGTTTGGCAGACTGCAGCCTTTTCAGGGGGAAAACCAGCAGCAGCTCCTGAGATCCATGCAATATTGGAACTTAGGACACTGGGAAGCCAAGCAAGCACCGCCATTCCCTGGTGAGCGGTGGCAGTCTGGCAAACTGCAGCCCTTCCCGGGGGAGAACCAGCAGCAGCTCCTGAGATCCACGCCATGTTGGAACTTAGGATGCTGTGAAACCAAGCACCAGCCTGTCTCCCTACTAAGCAATAGTGAACCTACTGATGCACCACCTAGAGTCAAATATCCCATTTACCCAACTCCTCTATTCCTGTCATTTCCCCACTTCCCCACCCCCATTAGGAAATGAACCAGAAATCTGAGCGTCTCCTTGGAAGTTGACCAAATAAGGGGGACTTCCTTCTACTATCTCTTTGAAGGCAAATATTTTTATTACTGTTTGGCTCTATTCTGATTAATGGTAGTGCTCTATTCCATATTCTGTTTTGATAAGTTCTATGTTCTGTATTTCATCTCATTTTGATACATGTGTTTGAAAGAAAAACTATTATAAAGATAACAAAATGTACTGTGATACCTATTACTGTTATTCCAGTAACCTGTTGTGAAGTTGTGTACCAATTTCACTGCATGATCTTAGTTGGCCTTATTCTGCCTTGTTCGGTTGAATTTTACCTATTTCAAAATTTAAAAAAAGAAAAAAAGTCTCATCAATCACTGTGATAGACTGCAGATGATGTATCTTCAAATCTCATTTAGGCCAGTGAGGACTTTGTTAATATAGTTAAGCAGCATTTTGAAATATGAATTTGGTTTCATAGAACAAAACATAAATAACACCAAATATGGTACATAAATAATAACTGAAATGTTAGTGGAAAACAGCTATATTTTTAAAATATGTATAAAAAATGAAACCAGGCCCAAGCTGTAAATTATAGCTCACTGTCACCAAGTGGTCACTACATATATTTTGGGAGGCTGGTGATGGAGGATCCCAAATGATAGACTGTAGTGCAGAGACTTCTGGAGCTGCCGTTCTTCTACAGTGGTGAACTCAGCTCGACAGAGGAGTGTTTGTACTGAAGAGCTTTACCTCAGGCTCTTAATTTGAAATCCATTTTGTTTCAAGGAAAAAAGAACACATCAACTAAAATTAAATTTCAAAATATGTTAATCAGGGGGCAACACTGGTATATACAATGCACAATGTCATCACCAGATCATTCACCCAGACCACAAGACATTTGTAATCAAGTTTCCAAACAGTACTGTTATAGGTACCTGAGTTATATAAATACTACTGCCATAGGACAGGGCTAGGTCCCCCAAGGAGCTCATGCAGGAACCAGATACCTTGCAACTATGGGGAAGACTGACACCTCATGCTATGGGCCAAGTCTCAAGACAAATGATATGCTAATTCATCCATATCCTAAGGATTGATATTCTAAATAGTTTTCTAGCACTCTGAGGAAGTCAGTAGTCACCATTCAAAGAAATGTATCCTTATCCTAAAGAATGATATTCTAAATAGTTCTTATCATGAAGTCAGGAGTCACCCTCCCAAACCCCTAAGGGAAGTCACAGCTGCCTAAGAATGCCTGCTTCTATGTGACTCCATTCCCCCTTTGTTCCCAATTAAATCAACTTTACCTGAATTTATAATCTTATTGGCTACCATAGCTCTGTCCCATCTTATGCCCATCTGCATTGTGAGTTCCTAGTTTCCCCACCTAAAACTCATTTCATCACATGATTTTACTCTATAAATGTCCCTAGAATGGACAGTGTTTGGCAACCGGCTCAGGACACCTTCTCTCTCTCAGGCAGCTTTCTTTCTCTCAATAAGTATATTCTTCTCTTAATCTCTGTTGTTCCTAAAATTCATTCTTTGACTTTACAGAACAAAAACCTCATATAAGACATAGTAGACTGGATAGAGATTCATTCTGCTATAGCAATATCAGTACAAACTTTTCTCTTTCTTGAAGTCAGAGAAATCAGTAGTCATTTGTATAACACCATGTTGATCTCACCTTGCCAGGGATCCTTGCACTGAAGGGCTTTACACCTGCCTTTAAATGCTGCTTCTTTTTCTGAAAGTGAACTGATCTGTAATTTTGGCAGGGATGCTTACTCATATGGCCACTTCCTCTTTTCTCCTTGATTACCACTTCCTCTTTCTTTCCCAGAGGCCTAAAGAAAACTCCCATCAGCTCTTGGCATGACATCAATGTCCCCTCCAAGCACCACATCCAGTCAAAAGTCACATATACCCCATATCCACATAGTCAGTCGGAAAAAAAATAAAAAACAGCCAAACCCTTGGTGGCTGTGGGCTCCTCTCCACATTCTTTAAGTAAAAGGCCACTTTTACATTTCTTATATTCTGCTTCTCTATTGTGCTAATTTACCTCCTCAGTAACCTCAGTAATCTAACCCACTTTAAACCTATCTCACCACATTTTATTCTATAAAGTCCATAGAAAACACAGAGTCCTTTGCTACAGGTGCAGAACCCTTCTTGTTTCTCTCAGATAGAAGCTTTTTGACAGAATTTTTGGTGTAGTAAAGAAGAGAATATAAAATCAAAATGGCCTTTATTCTAAGACTATGGGGAGAATCCCATGACCACTGGGGGTCTGGCTTTTTCTTCTAGAAATGTGTGGGTGGCATACATATAGTTTTTGACTTGGAT